ACCTCCTTGCCTACGCCCATGACCTCAAGAGCTTTGCCTGTTTATCTTCCAGCTGCTTAAGTGTTTCTGTTTTATCACCTGGGTCTTTGATCCATTTTGATTGTATTTTAGCACATGGTGAGAGATATGGGTCTAGATTTACTCTTGTGCATGTGGGAAGCCAGTTTTCCCCACACCATTTATTGCAGAGTCTGTCTTTCCTCCAGTGTATGTTTTGGGCCCCTTTGTCAAGGATCAGAGATAAATATGCCTGGGGTGTTTCTGCGTCCTCTGTTCGACTCCACTGATGCACACGTCTGTTTGGTGCCAATGCCGAGCCGGCTTGAGCACTGCGCTTTGTAATACAGCTTCAGATGCAGGGTTGTGATGCCTCCCACTTTGCTCTTGTTACCCAGCGTTGATCTTGCCATTGTGGATTTCTGCCAATTCCATATGAATTTTAGATCTGTTTTCTCCATTCCTGTGAAGAATGACATCGGTATTTTGATTCCGATTGCATTAATTCTGTATATCAATTTTGGAAGTATGGCCAGTTTGACTATATTGGTTCTGCCTATCCAGCAATGGGGATTTTTCTTCCCATCTTCTGATGTTCCCTGATTTCCTTTTTCAGAATACTGCAGTTTTCCTAGTAGCAGCTTTTCACTTTGTTGGTTAGCTTAATTCCTAAGAATTTAATTTTTCTTGGTGCTATTGTGAATTTTTTTTCAGACTTCTTCAGTGGATTTGTTATTAGGGCACAGGAACACTATTGAGTTTTGTGTGTTGATTTTTTTTTTATCCTGCTACATTTTGAATTTGGTTATTAATTCTAGGAGTCTTTGTGAATTTAGTTTTGGTCTTCTATGTAGAGGATCATGGCATTTGCAAATGATAATTTCCAATATATATATATATACATATATTTTAAATTTCTTTTTTCTTGCCTACTTGCTTTTTTATTTATCCTTCATTTTGGTTTTATTAGTGAACGTTTGCAGGACATGAAGTTTGCATTCATCTTGGGGAGCAGGGACATGCACATAGCACAGTGTGTGTCTTTGTTTAATGTCCTTCCCTTTACCACCCATCCCCCTCCCTCTGTCTCCCAATCTCCTTTCCCCATTTATATTCTTGTTGTTGGTATTAATCTTAGCTCATGTTCATGACATAATGTTTATATTCACTGTGAGTATTTGGTACCTGTCCATGCATATTTTAATTCTTCTTACATCCCCTTCTCCTGCCCATTTTCCTCCCCTCCTCGTGTCCTGGACAGATGAGACCCCAATTATTCTTTGTGCTAGTTCCTGCGCTACTAAGGATTTGCTCATAAAGACTTTTCCTATGCCAATATCTTGAAGAGTTCTATCTAACTTGTCTTCCAGCAAGCTTAGTGTTTCTGATTTACTATTTAGATCTTTAATCCACTTGGATTCTAGTTTAGTGCACGGTGAAAGATAGGGATCTAGTTTTAATCTTTGGCAAGTTGAAAGCCAGTTTTCCCAACACCATTTACTCAAGAGGCTATCTTTTCTCCAGTCAGGATGGTTGGCTCCTTTGTCAAAGATGAGGTAGCCGAGTACATCTGGAGTTATTTCTACATCTTCTAATCTAGTCCACTGACCTTGGGTCTGCTTCTTTGCCAGTGCCATGCCGTTTTTATCACAGTGGCTTTGTAGTACATTTTAAGTTGGGGAGACTACATATTTTGCAAGGTCCAGTCTATGCAGTATTTATGCAGTGTCCATGCAGGGCCATGAGACCTTGAGCCAATGGCCTGACTGATGACACTCTGGGCAGGTCCTAGACAGTTGAAGGACACCTGGAAGATGTTTTTGGAAGAACCCTGGCAGATCTGACTCAGCAGACTCCATGTTGGGCTTTCCAACTCCATTTTCAGGCCGTTGTCCTTCCTGTTCCACTAATTCCCATTGCAGTGTTACGATGATGATGGTCAGAGGTCTGAGAGGTCTGTTGCCCTTGGGGAATATTTCAGGGGACGCCCTTCGTGGAGCCCCGGCTGAGCTGTGGCTCCGGTGTGCTCATATCCTCCCTGACTGTACGTGCGGCTTCTGTGCAGGGCCCAACTGACGCTCTGGGCTCCCACCTCTCCCCATGGGTGATGCCAGGAGAGAGGAGACACGGGGGCCCCTTGGCAGAGTCGAGTCCTGGGAGTTCCTGGAAGAAGTGGGTGGGGCAGAGCCACGCATGGGAGGCCCCAGCAGAGTTTATTCTAGCAAAGGAGGGAAACGAGGCTGCTTCAGCTTCCTCAGTCAAAGTCACGTTCGTGTGTCAGGGATTCATTTCCTGAGTGCTGACTGTGTTCTGACGTCACCCCTGGAGGTCACCAGAGGGATCTGTGCCAGTGTGAGGGGCTGCAGCAGAGTCAGTCGGGCTCCCGATGGTCCGACCTCCAGACTGCAGGATCTCTGCTCCAGGTCATGCCCATCGTGGGACCTCAGGCTGCCCCACTCCACCCAGTTCAGGGGGAGTCAGGAGAGGACGGGAGTTGTCCTAGGGACTCCTGGCCCAGGATCAGGCAACCGCACCCCAGGATGCACAGCCTCTGGAAGAGTTTCAGAGAAAGGGCCTGAGGAGGGGACCTGTGAGGGGAGACGGAGAGGACACTGGCGCGCAGCTGTCCGGAGTTTTGCACTTTCCTCCGCATCCTCAGAGGTCCATCCTCTCCGAGGGTGGCGGGTCTCCCTTCTATCGCCTGGTGCACGGTTGGTGTGAATATTCAGCGGTGCCTCCTGTTTTTACCGCTCAGGGTTTGTGAAGCGCCAGTGGCATTGAGCGCTGTTACTTTTGGGGAACATCCTCTCACAGTAACGCAGTCTGGGGGTGCCGCCTGCATGTGCATTTGGTTCCGCGTGGTTTTTCACGAGTTCCCCATTATTCCGCTGCTTGGCTTCGCTGCGATGCTTTTCCACACCCTGCACTGGACTGGAGCCCACCGTACTTTCCAGCAAGCTGTCCCGCGGGGAGGCCCCATCTCTGCCTGTGTGGAGCAAGGCTCCCTCCACACAGGTGTGAAGCGCAGGCTGTGGGCTGCCCACTGACAAAGGAGGGACAGGGCAGGCACGGTTCTGCCTTCTCCCAGCTCCCAGTCCGGGAGGCTCACAGTGGGCAGCTGGTCATTGTGTGCACCGATTAAAACTGCGGGAGACAAAACTGCTGTAGGCACAGGGCTACAGTCCCCTCAGGAGTCCATGAGGATGCCTGTGTCCAGCGCCCACAGTCCCTTGGAATAAATTTCTGTTCAGAAAGTACAAGGGCTGGGGATGTAGTACAGTGGTGCTGCCACTTGCCTCACAAGCACAAGGTCCTGAGTATGATCCCCATACGAAAGAAAGAAAAGAAAGAAACAAAGAAAGAAAGGAGAAAGAAACTGGGCGTGGTGATGCACACCTGTAATCCCAGCACTCGAGAGGCTGAGGCAGGAGGGTTGCTGTGAGTTCAAGACCAGCCTGGGCTACATAGTGAGTTCCAGGTGAGTCTCAACTACATAGTGAGACCCTGTCTCAAAAAAAAAGAGAAAGAAGAAAAGACAGGGTGAACATGGGTCCACGTATTCCTTGCTCTGCCCATGCACTGTCCACGTTGTTCCTATAGACTCAACTGCCACTTCGTGGTTTAAGTGCTCCTGTCCTCATCCCTGTACCGACCAGATGCCACGGTCGCTGTGCTGCCCGGAGGAGTCCCCCCCGTCTGTCCCTGCGGGAGTTCTTGTTCCACAGGTTGTTGATCTGAGCACAGGGGACTCCTGCAGAACCTGTGAGAGCCTCGGCAGCTGACAGCGATCAGAGGGGCTGTCACAGATCAGGAAATATACAGGGGAGCAGGCATCTGGAAGTTTGGTCCTTGAGCGGGGAGATGGGTTCGATTGGGCTTCTGGGGCAGCGGGGCTTGGAGTCCCAGGCAGGAGCACAGAGGCTGGGGCCTGCCTTCGTAAAGAAAAACCACTAGATCGTCCTGGCTCTGCTCGACTGGAGAATAGCAGCCTGGGAAGGATCTGGGGATGGCTGGTGAGAAGAAGTATATGCTATCTCTCCCTGTCGTGGACATGGGGAGGCATGGGGTTAAGTGACTCGTTGGATGTGGTTTTCTTGTATCCGCTGTGCCTGCAGTGCCTCTCCCTGCAGAGGGTGAGTGTGGATTGGAAGCTGAGGTCTGGACACGGGGCTGTTGGTCTGAGGCAGTCCGTGGAGTCCTCCGATGTTCAGGGAGGGAAGAGAGTCTGGATGCCCCTGCACACTGCAGCCTCAGGTATATGGAGGGTCTGGTGTGTCACCTGGAGCCCGTGGTCAGGCACTTTGGGTGAAGGCATGAAGCTGTGTGACTGTCCTTGTTCTAAACTTTTCATGAGGCGGAGCTGGATGTCCAGGGGCCCGGATCACAAGGCACCCGGATCCAGATCACAAGCGCGTGTTGAGGGGAGGGTCACGGGGCTGAGCAGGTCCACGTGTTGAGATCTGGAAGGGCTCCAGAGGGAGAGCTCAGCGCCGCCTGTCTGAGGCTGAGGCTGTGTCCAGTAGGGTTAATGAGGGTGACCCAGCCCAGGGACAGTGGGTGCCAGCCCGGGGAACAGAGGACCTGGGTGCCTGCTCACGTGGAACATGGACAAGGGATCTGCATCCACCCAGTGCAGCTGAGACTCCCTGCGTACACAGGAGGCCCTTGCCCTGGATATGCAGGTGGTGCGAAGACCTGCACGGATAGGAGCTGAGTCCCTGCAATGGCAGGGCTGGGTCAGCAGGAGCAGAGCTGCTCCTGTGGATGGGAGGAGTGGGATACACGGGGCTGCGAGGTTTGGCTTGAGGAGCTGACAGAGCAGCCCAAGGCCTCAGCACATCTCAGATTCCAGGGGTTCAGGTGGATTCAGGGATAGAGACACTGTGCTCAGGAGCTGCTCTGGGCTGGGGTGTTGCCATCCAAGGCTAGGCAGCGAGGCTAGAAGCCAGTGATGAGAAAAGTTCTTAATATTACAATGTTTTAGGGCTGGGGATTTAGCTCAGTGGTTCCACTGCCTGCCTTGAAAGTGCAAAGTCCCGAGTTCATCCCCAGTACCCACCCCCCAAAATAGCAACAATGTTTTACATTCAGTGACCTGGGCCTCAAGGTTCATTTGGAGAGAATGGCCATGTGCTGGGGATCAAACTCAGAGCCTTACATATGCTGTGCAAAGGCCCAACCACTTTGATAAGCCCAAGCCCCTGAGTTTCGGGGCCAGAGACCCTCGCCATGAGGCTGGAGCAGGCTGTCAGTAGCCCCAAGGCCCCAGGCCAAGTACAATAATCTCCCTCACAGGGATTTGTGACAGTTGTGAAAAAACCATAATAACTGACACATGCAGAGGGATTCCATTAGATAGAGGAGACTCGGATCATCCGTGTAGTAACTTTCTATTGCACTTGTCTTTGAAAGAATAAAAACGGACGCCTTTTCCTCATTCCTTCTCATCTGAGTCCTCCCTGCTGCAGCAGCGAGAACCCGTGGGCCTGAGATGCTGTCCGCGGTGCTGACCACCACGGACTAGTCAAGGGCGGGTGAGCGGCAGGCTCTCAGTATTTTGATTCCTAACAGCTGTGATATAACCATGGGGGAGAAGGAGGGCAGGTGCGGCGGTGTGGAGCACCCCACCCCACCTCCGTCCTCTCGGGAGCTCAGGGTGCCTTGGACGACACTGCAGGAACCGACATTACAGCCCGGTCACCTAAATCCTAGTTCCTATATGTGGATTTTTGCAAAGGAAGCAGACAAAATGGCCTTGGGAAGAGTGAGGGACAGAGCGAATTCCCTGCAAAGTCATACCTGTCCTCATGCATAGAATCTGTGAACCTGTGCATGGTAAAGGCCACTTTACAGATTTCGTGAAACGTCAGCTCGAGAGATCCTTTGTTTTACCCTGATGGGTCCTGAGTACTCACAAGGCCCTTTTAAGTGAGAGACGTAGGCAAGTTGGAAAAGGAACAGGATATGCGAACATGGGACAAGCAAAGGGGGGCACCAGTGGCCAGGCTGAGCCACCCTTATTGTCAGGAGTGTCAGGGTCCTATTGTCCCAGGGGCATCATCCTGGAGACGTTAGAAGCAGTTTCTGTAGAAAATTATAGAGTAGTATCTGCTTGGTGGTTGATCTGGCTATAAACATTCATGTCAGGGTTTAGTAATTCCTGTGGAAAAAAACCAAAAAGGCCCCTGAGCCCTGTGTCCTTTTCAGAAGAGGGCAGAGCCTCTTGGGTCCTGAGCCAGCTGGGGCTGCTCTGTTTCCAGGTCTGTACCAGGAGGCTTCTGTTCCCAGGTCCGTCCCTTCCTGCCTCAAATCACCCACCTCTGACTGTATTTTCACGTTTTTCCCCCCAAAACTGATGTAAAAGCCCAGCTAGGTTTCAGGCAGGGACAGGACCCGGGCCACTGTTGTTCCTGGGGGACCACAATGTTCATCACCCACACTCACCTCATAGATGGGAACAGCTGGCCTGGAACTGGGGACGGTGGCCTGTGAGGGGAGAGAGAGCTGATGTCAGGGGACAGAGGGGGGTCATGGAGGCCGTGGAGGAAGTGAGCAGGTGCTGTCTGAGCTTGGACAGGCCAGAGCTTTCCTCCCTTCATCACTCTACTTGTTTCCCCTCAGGAGCGAGCAGCTCAGCATCCTGAGCACCAGCCTGCACACCCGGAGTGACACCAGTCCCTGTCCTGGATGGAAGCCCCCATGTTACCCTGGGGCCCCTCACTCACAGTGCACCTGCCACACTGCAGGGTCCCCTCTGACCATTTGAGCATTCAGGGTAGACTCAGCTTCTGGCCAGGCCTGGGCTAACCTCCTCCTGGCCACATGGGGGAAGCTGTGGTTTGTGCTCGGGCTGAGGGTGGAGACTCCTGTCTCCATTAGTTCCGTGACAGGAGGGAGACTCAGGAGTGGGCAGACTGAGCAAAGGCCTTAGACTCCTGTGTTCAGACTTGGGCTGGAAGGGAGGCCCCTCAGGCAGAGGCAGCCCCAGGAAAAACTCAACCTAGGGACCTAGGAAAGGAACTGGGTCCATAGAAAAGGAATCAACCCTTGCCCGAATTCAGGGGTCCAGGGCCTGGGAGGGGACGCAGGGCCCCCTGGGTAAGCAGCACCCTGGGGAGCCACAGCCACCACCGTTCTCCTCAGCTTCCATGTCCCTGCTGAGGGCAGGCCCTGTGCTCAGGCCGGGAGGTATAGAAATGGGAAGGTGGCCTTGTCCTCTTTCCTCCCACCCGGCGAGCGTCCCAGGCACATTCGGGGCGTGCTGACACGAAGCCCCAGCACTCTCACGGCATGGACTGGGGCCAGTGGCCTCAGCAGCCTGTCCAGGCTCCTCCACTCACCCTGTGTCGCCTGGGCCATGATTTGTCCCCAGATGGTGGCCTCTCGCCCCTCTCTGGGTGGTATGACTGAAACAAAGTAGAAGAGGTGCCAGTTTCTGAGCCCTGACCAGCTCCCAAGCAGGCTGCAGTTTTGCTGTGTGGGAACCAGAACCAAAAAGAAGGGTCACGGCCCTCGTCTTGCCCATTTTGTAGATGCAGAAACTACCAAGCAAGCAGTCCCGGACCAGAGCTTGAGAGAGAGGAGCCAGCTGGACACAGGGGATGATTCATGGGAAGTCGGGGACCTGAGAGCCAGAACCAGACAAGGGTCTCCTTCCTGTGTCCAGGGGCAGCCTTGGTACCTTCCAGTCCCCTTGAGGAGCAGGAAACACCCCAGGGCGACAGCCACAGCCACCCCGACCAGGACCCCGCATACTATGCCAGCAACGGTCCCTGCAGAGATGCCTGGGTTCTTTTCTTCTGCTGGAAGGAGAAGAGGCAGGGAGGGAAGGCCCAAGTGAGTTCTGGGGAGACCTTGGGGCTGTGTAGGGAGCGGCCCAGTGAGAGCTGTCAGAAAAGGCAGTGTGGTTTGCTGTGTTATCACCGCCACAAGTTTGTGGCTCTGGGCCACTGCTTCTTCCTGTTTTGAAACCCCGCGGTTGCTGTAACTGACACTCACACACGGAGTCTGTACTCCATCCCCCTCCTGTTCTTTATGCCTCCCCGCTGTTTCTTCTTTTCCATACTTGACAGTCTTACAGGGAGGCCCTACCCAGAGGTGCAAGGCTGATTAGTAACAGTGATCATGAGTAACACTTTTCGGGGTCTCCTGAAGGCCAAGCACAGTGGAAAAATCTTTACCTATATCTCATATGATCTCTCCGTCCCCAAGATGGGAAGGCTGTCACCCCATTATGCAAATTTAGCATCTGATGATTAATTAAATTCTTAAAGAAGCCAATTAAAATCACACTATGGTGCCGGGGGCGTGGTGGCGCACACCTGTAATCCCAGCACTCGGGAGGCTGAGGCAGGAGGATCGCTGCGAGTTGGAGACCAGCCTGGGCTACATAGTGAGTTCCATGTCAGTCTCAACTACATAGTGAGACCCTGTCTCAAAAAACAAACAAACAGAAAAAGAGCGCACCATGGGGAAGTGATACAGTGAGATACTAACTCCATTCTTGACTGCGCAGGTCATGAGAAAGCTCATCAAAGTCACACTAGTGGAGAGCAGAGATGGAGCCTTGATTCTGTCCAGGACCCTGTGCTAAGGGCTGCAGTCTCTTGAATCTAATAAACATCCTCACAATAAAGTTAAGATCCCGGTGTTATTCTCTAGTTTTACAGAAGAAGGAACCGAGGCAGACACCTGGTACCAGAATAAAGATAATGACAAGAATTTCTGGATTCTTCATCACTTTCTTTCCAGACTCTAAAGAATCTACCCGATTCTCATTGCCGTGTCGTCTGATATCACGGACCGTGAACTATACCAGGGAAGTAGCAGGTGCTGAGGGTCACTCACATTTCACCTCCAGCCTGATCATGCTGCTTCTTCTGGAACTGCCTGGGTTGAAGACCTCACACTGATATTCCCCGGCATCTTCCCCGCTGACCGGGTCTATGGTGAGGACGCTGCTGTTCGGGGACAGCATCATCCTGTCTGTGAGCCGCAGAGTCTGGTCATCGCGGACCCACCGGATGGAGACTCCGGTGTCACCTGTGAGGCAGGTCAGGACCAGAGAGTCCTCTTCTGCCACAGTGGTGTTGGTGGCTTGGATGGAGGGTGGAGACACCGGCTCTGTGGACAGAGGAGGGAAATGACTGACAGCCGGCCTGGGGCCTGGGGCCTGGGGCCTGGGCTGTGCTCCCTCTTCCGAGATCTCAGCCAGTCCCTGGGTCCACAGAGAGCTGTGTAACAAGGCCCAGAGCCCAGAACTGACCCTTGACAGTGGCTGCGTGTCTTTGCTCAGGTGACAGTCCCTAAGAGGGCACTGTCCCCGATCACCCAGGCAGACCTCTGATTATTGTTCTGTATAACTGCACATCAATGAAAAAGTTCCCCCCTAGGGCTGGGGATTTAGCTCAGTGGTTCTGCCACTTGCTTTGCAAGCACAAGGTCCCAAGTTTGATCCCTGGTACAAAAAGACAAAGAAAAAAGAAAAATTTCCCTAAGACTTTCCTGTCCTTTTTCCCACAAATTTTTTGGTGGTCTGAACGAAGTTGTTCTGTAATAACACAATACTCCAGACTGGATAATTCCTAAAGAGGAGAGATTTGTTGCCCACTGTTGTGGCCCAAGGGTGGTGAAGACCGAGCGGCCCCATCCGATGAGGGCTTTCTTGCTCCTCCACATCATGGAAGAAGACATCCCACTGGAATAGAGTGTGTGCAGAGAGCAGGGATGGGGCCAGACTCCTTTCAGGGCCCCCGTGCCCACAGCACCTTGCCTGGTCCTGCAGGGCCAGCAGAGCTCCGAATGAAAAAGCAGAGCCCTGGACACCTGCTCGCTTTCCTGGGCCAGACCTCAGATCGCTGTGGCAAGGGGGACCCAGTTTTACACCACCCTTTTGGGGACGCATTCGCGCTGCAGCCGTGACTGGACTGTTGGGCCTCCTCTTCTGGTCTGTGCGTCCCTGTGTGCTGGGGAAGGAGGGTGTGAAGGGCTGGCCAGCGTGGGACCAGGGCAGGTTTCCCGGAAGCAGTGATGATACGTATCTGATGTACATGCTCATTGTCTTTGACACCACTGGGGATTGAACCCAGAGCCGGCACACGGAGCTACACCCCCAGCCCTTTTCCTTTTTATTTTGACTCTGTCTCACTGGGTTGTTAAGTTGCCCAAGGATCCAATTTGAAATCCTGCCTCAGCTTCCATGGTGCGATGATTCCAGGTGTGGCTGGCATGTGCTTCTCGGTGTGTTAGATCAGAGGATGAGGGCAGCCTGCACATCCCAGTCTCGGGAGGGGTTCTGGGTCATCTGTTCATCACCCACTACTCACGCTTCCCTTGTGCATCACAAAGCCACTGAAATGGCTGTAAATTGGGCGCTGGCTTCAGGCAGTGGGGAGAGAGAGAGAGAGCTCCCAAGGCCATCTCTCTTGTGCTCCAGGGAAAGTGACCCTCAACGCCTCAGGAAACAAAGGAGCTCAAGTCCAGTGAGGGAGGCTGTGGATCAGCTGCCTGAGAAAGGAGGCCTGCGCATTCTGCAGAAGGAGGTGGCTCAATTCCGCAGTAAAACCTGACTCATTCTAGGTTTGATCTCTCTGCTCCAAGCTTACTCTCTCTCACTGGTGAGGCTGAAGATTTAAAAAACATGAATCAGGGCAGGGATTTAGCTCAGTGGTGCTGCACCTGCCTTGCAAATGCAAAGCTCTGAGTTCAATCCCCGGTACCAACAAGAACAACCACAACCATGACTCAATACCTGGCCCCTGGTTCTCACATCTAAGAAATTTCCAGGGTAGAGAGGAGAGTCCTGGGTTTACACACACGTGGGGCACGCCTCTGTCCCCCTTGGGCACACCGACCTTCCCCTGGAGTCCCATAAGTCAGCCAGGTTGGCACCTGTCTCTCTGTGCTATCTATGCCAAGTGTCAGGAGAAAGAACTGCCCAGTGCCCTGACCCAGATGTCGTTCTTGGGGTCGTGCACTGGCCGGTGACCAGCACCAGGGACTATGAGAGGCACAAAAACCAATCACTCGTGGTTCCATCATCCCTAAACAGTGGGTCAGTTCTAACCCCGGGAACAAGCTCTCCTGGATCACTTGGAGTCAGGAGCTTGGGACAGAAGCAGGGGCTGCCTGGGGCTGAGCTTCTGTGTGGGGATCCCCAGGGTCCCCCAGGTCAGGCCCCGACCAAGGTCCTCAGGGTCGCTCTCGGGGCCATGTAACTAGGAAGGAGCTTGGGGGCTGGACGGAGATGACCTCCCTGGGTCGAGTTACCCCATCCACCTATCCTTCCCTCTGCCGGGTGGGTTCAGGTAGAGGATTCCAATCTCCTGAACTTCACCTCCACTGTATGTGTCCTGCACGACACGCTCAAAGCCCAGCATAGGGACATCATGAGCCAGGGTGGGGTGCAGTCTGGGCCTGACCGTTCTGTGTGTGAAGCAGAAATCACCCCATCCAGCACCCCGAGGTCATTGAGGGTAACTTACGGTGTACTCGGAACTGTCCAGATGCTATTTCAGTCAGAAAATTAGGTTGCGTAACTTGTAGGGTGTACACTCCTGTGTCCCCTAGAATCACGTTCCGGAACAGCAGGGATCCATTGGGGTATATTGTCTCTCGATGGCTGTATGCAGGCCCCTGTGAAGTTGTTCCATCAGCTACCGAATATGATACAAGCTGATTGTTGGAGGCAAGAGTTCCCCCTTTGAACCAGCTATAGGCACTTTTATTGGCTGGTAGATTGTGGACAAGTAGAAGAACATCTCCCCCTTCAGCAGCATCGCTAGGCACCGAATCAATAGTCATTTGGGCAGTGGTGGGTGGGTTCCAGAAGGTTAAAAGTGAGGCTGGAAGAGAGAGAAATTCATCAGTAGTGGATGCAGAGACGGGGCCCTGAGTCCCGAGAAGATGTGTAGGCTTAATGTTACTGCTGTGCGTGTGTGTGTGCGCGTGCATGTTTCTGCATGTGTGAATCTTCCTAGGTGAGGTCAGCAGCAGGACCTCACCCCTTCAGTGCCCCTGCACCTGTCCCTGTCCTCTGTTTGGGACCCTCCTCCATGGGTGTCTGCGGCTCCCTGCTGGCCGCACTCAGGTCCTGCTCACATGCAGGGCAGCCTGGGCAGATGCCCTCCTGAGCACCCCACACTGACAGCCTGGGCTTCCCTTTGCCACCTTTCCTGCTTTCCGCCCTCTGTGGCTCTTGCCAGCACCTGCCTTCCCCTTCTAGATGTCCCTGCTGATCTGCCTTCCTGCCCCTGGGATGGAGCTCCTGGAGGACAGGGACCTGTCTGCTCTCGGTTAGAGCCCAATGCCTGGCCCAGGCTGAGACCCCTGTGGACGAAGGAGAGAGGCTCCCGGAGCCCTGCCTGTCCAGGGCTTATCTGCCAGATTCTTTCTGGTGGTGGTGATGAGTAAGGACAGTGGGACTGCCCTGGTTGTGTTTTCTTTGGAGAGTCACCCTGACAGTTTTTATCCTCCATTTTCAATATCTAGTGGCCAAGAACAACAAAAAAAGGTAGATTATGTAAAGGTACAAATTTCCAATGATGAATGTCATTATATTGTATACCTAAAATGTACCAATAAAAGAAAGTCTAGTGGCCAGCTGGGCGTGGCGGTGTACCTCCCAAATCCCAGCACTCAGGACTTGAGGTAGGAGGATTGCCTCAGGTTCGAGGCCAGCCTGGGCTTCAAAGTGAGTGAAAGGCCAGCCTGAGCTACACAGGGAAAGCCTGTCCCCTGATACTCATATAGCGGCCAGTGATGATTCATGTGTAACAGAAAAGTGGACCATTTCCTTCTGCTTTTTTAAAAAATTGAGTTTATTGGTACAATCTAGGTATACAATACAGTTACATTCATCATTGGGATTCTGTACCTTTACATAATAGGTCTTGATTCTCATTTTTCCCCTTGTCCCTGCCCTCCCTTCACCCCCTCCTACCTCCCCATTTAAAAAACACTTTGTTTCCATTTTTTCAGTTTCTCATATTTTCTTCCTGTCCCTTATTACCTTTCCCCCACCCTTTCCACTTGCCCTACACCTTTAGACCTTTACTTCCTATTTCACATTATTAATTATCTCATTAGGATCCTGTGTACCATTATAGTTTTTCACACCAAAGAATCTATTCGGTATTTCAGTTAAAGAAATCTCTGTATGAACATTAAAAATAGGGAATCCTAAAATAAAACTAAAAAGGAAAGTAAAAGAGAAAAGGCAATGATGTAACATTAAAATAATCCTTAATTCTGGAGATGAAAATGGTCCCTGAACATATTTAAATTGCTTCTTGCTCTTATAGTCTTATCTTATTCTTTTTTTCATTATTTAGAGAATACTTTATTAGTTTCTGTAATCAAACCCACGTAGATATGACCTTGCATGTTTAGTACGATGTGTTACCCCTGTACACATGGGAAAAAAATTAACATTTCTAGACCAATATGACTGTCCATTTCTGTACAATGCCAACTCAACATAGTAAATTGGGATGACTTTTTCCAAAGTTGGCAGCACCGTTAAAGTTTCCCAAAATTCAATTTATATATATATACATATATATATGTGTGTGTGTGTGTATTTATATTTATATAAAAAGACTAATAATAGTATGTTATACATCGATAGCAGCAACAGCTTTTCCAGGTTCTGCAGTCATCTGAACAAAATTATAGACATTCAGCACATTCCATTAAAAACAAAACAAAACAAAACAAAAAAAAAGAAAGAAAAGACTAATATCCAGAAAACAGCAAAGTTCTGTTGCTGTTGTGGTACCTGGGACCATTTTTTTTATTAGCATCTTAGTCACTATCTGGAAAGAAAATATTCTAGAGTAATTATCATTAAATGTAGCTCTGATAAAGCACGGTCCCTACTATGTATCATAAAGCAGGTACAAGATATTTTATATTCATAGAGGTATGATACAGTACTGTCCTACATCAATAATACTAGAATCAGTTTTGGTTTGAAATTTACTTTGTCTGCAAATAAAATTGCTACTCCTGTTTTTTTCTGGGCTCCTGTCACATGGAGAATTGTTTTCTATCTTTTCACTTTCAGTCTATGGGCTTCTTTTTGCACTAGGTGTGTTTCTTGTATACAACATATTGTTGGATTTTGCTTCTTACTCCATTTTGCCAGTCTATTTCTCTTGATTGGTGAGTTGAGGCCATTGACATTGCTGGTTATAACTGATATGTACTGACTTATTATTGACATGTTATTGGCCTTTTGTTGACTCTTTTTACTTTTTCACCTTCTCCTTTTAATTTCTTGCCTTGCCTATTTGATTTGCTCTGTTGGGCCTCATGGTGTTGTTGCCTTCATTGTCTTTTTCTAGGATCTTGTTTAGAATTCCTTGTAGTGCTGGTTTGGTATTCATGTAGTTTCTCAGGTGTTCTTTGTCGTGGAAGTGTCTTATTTCCCCCTCCATTTTGAAAGAGAGTTTTGCTGGATACATCAGTCTAGGTTGGAGGTTGTTCTCTTTTAGTACTTGAAATATCTCATTCCAGGCTCTCCTTGCCCCAAGGGTTTGTGTTGAAAAGTCTGCTGTGATTCTGATGGGCTTTCCTTTGTATGTGATTTGTTTCTTTTCTCTTACTGCTTGCAGTATTTTGTTCTTCTGTTGGGTTTCTGGGATCTTGATTATTATATGTCTAGGTGTAGATTTTTTTATTGTAGCTAGTTGGGGTCCTATATGCCTCAGTTATCTGAATGTCAAATTCCTCCCCTCTGTTTGGGAAGTTTTCTGTCATTAATTCTGCAAACAACTTTTTAAGGTCATTTGTATTTTCTCCTGCTACTTCATGGATTCCTATCAGTCTTATGTTCTTCTTTGCATCATCTAGGAGTTGTTGGATCGATTTCTCATGATCTCTTACTGTTTTTAAGAGACCTCTCTTTTCATGGTGCAATCTTATCTTCTATATCTGAGAGTCTATCTTCGCATTATTTTATTCTGTTGTGTACACTTTCAATAGAGTGTTTAATCTCCTGGATATCTGTTTGAATCTCTTTTATGGATTCCATTTCTTTCCTATGTTAGGCATTTATTGTTTCCATTTATTTCTTATGCTGGGCCTTCATGGCTTCTATCATGGTCCTGAGCTCATCTATTTTTTTGTCAGTTTCTGCTCTAGAGTCTCGAATCACGACTTCCATTTTGCTCACTATCTCTATGGTTATCTGGGAAATTATTTCTGTTTTGAATTTTTCTAGAGCCTGATTGATCTGTTTTGTTACTTCCTGTGTTTTGAGTTCAGGGTGTCTTGGTGGTTCACTATCAGCCTTTTCATCCTCATTTGCCCTACTGTTTGCCATTGGTGAACTGGAAGTCTGTCCTTGTGTTTTGCTTACGTGTTTTCTCATTTTTATTTTTGTTGTCGGACTGTCCTTGATTTAATTTCTGGATTATCACCCAAATCTTCCTGATATAGTTGCGCCCTAGCTTCTGTGTCTGTAATGACCCACAGACATTCTCATCTTCATAACATCAGAGAAAACAGCTCATCAAATCAACCGCAATGCTTTACCCCAACTGATACAATCAGCAACACATTAAGATCAAGCACAACTTTGACACTGACCACCGGTGGTAGTCACTAGTCTATCACCCTTAAACCATTTGAATTAAATTGAAATCAAGAAGTAGTCCAGAACATGTCTGCAGTGAACAAAATTTCAATATAGTGTATTTACCATTTAATGGCTCAGACAGAGCGAGGATGCAAGACCCCTGATCTCAGTTAGCTGATGGCTGAACCCCATAACGCTGACTGACCTTGGGCTGCAACGCCCAGATTGAGTTCCCCAACCTTCTGAATGGTTGAACTCCACAACGTTCTATTACAGGTTTCCCATGCCCTTTCTTTAAAGACGTTCAAAGTTGGGAACTCAGAAAAATACCCTCGATCACCACCTCTGCCTCTGCAGAGTGGGTCCAAAGACTGGCACAATCAGGAGGTCTGAGAGTGCAGGGGGGGAAACTTATGGGGGTTCAGGGGCGCCCATGAAGCTACCTTCCCGGAGCTTGAGCGATGGTGGCTGGGTCGGGAGCAGGCGTGGCTCTCCCATTTCCTTCTGCTTTATCAGTTCCCATTCTCCGAGTTTCCAGTTTCTCAGCCTTCTGTTCCTCTTTTGTGTCCTCATCCCTCATGCTCTGAACAGAAACCTCTGTCCACTCTCTGAGTCTTGTCCTCCTCAGGGAACCCAGTCCTCTCTAAGTGTTCATCCTCCCTTATATCCTTCCAGGCCATGTCCCACTCACCTGCAAGCAGGAGCCCCTGCCAAGGAAGGAGTCCCCTGTGGGATGTGGCTGAGCAGGTCTCCATGGTCTCTGCTGCCTGCTCCATCCTTCCTCTGTGGAGATCTTCACCTCTCCAAGCAGGGCTGCTCAGGCCGTGGGCTCTGCTGTCCTCTCTCCCTCTGAGCTGAGCCTCTCCCAGGGCAGGAGCACTCCCCGAGTCATGTGACCTGGGGGCGGAGTCTGTCTAGGGCTCCTCTCTCTCCCCCTCCCTCTCAGTCCCGCCTTCTGTGTTTCTTCCCCCTTTTCTGTATTACCTGTCACCACCACAGACATGAGTCATGTGACCTGGGGGTGGAGTCTGTCTAGGGCTCCTCCCCCCCTCTCAGTCCCGCCTTCTGTGTTTCTTCCCCCTTTTCTGTATTACCTGTCACCACCACAGACCACACTTGGAGGACAGGCGGTCGCGGACTCTGTCACCTAAGAGAAGGACTGGCTGCCCCCCCAGCGGCCTCTGCACTGTCCTGGCTTTGGGCTGTCAACACCGCAGGGAGGACCCGGGGTTCCCAATCTGGGGTACCTTTCCCTTTGTGACCCAGAAACCCAGTGAGACACTCAGTCTTCCCGTGTGTGTGTGTGTGTGTGTGTGTGTGTGTGTGTGTGTGTGAAGGTAGATTCTACTCCCTCTCCTCAGAGGAAGGTGACAGAGATGGCTCTAGGGGACAGAGAGCGTCTCGTCTGAGTAGTGACTACTGAGGGGGACTTGGCCTGTGTCTCTGTGCCTCCAGCCTGGTCCCTCGTCAGATGTCTCAGAAGGAGTTGTAGCAGCTCAGCCTCCTGAGCACCAGGCTGCACAGCAGTCCCTGTCCTGGACACGCCCACCCTCATTACCCTGGGGCCCTTCACTGACGCTCTCAGCACTCACTCTGCACCTGCCACACTCCAGGGTCTCCTTTGTCCACTGGAGCATCCAGGGTGGACTCGGGAGAGCCTGAGGATGTCCCTCCCCGCCGAAGGGAACTCAGTTTTCAGCCAGTCCTGGCCTCACCCTTTTCCCGGCCACATGGGGGAGGCTGCCCTGTGCTGTGCCAGTGCTGACAGAGCCCCTGCCCTGAGTCTGCCTGGTCTCGACCCCTGTTGAGCACGGGGACAAGCTTACCTGGGAGGTGGAGCTGGCCTGGGAACACAGACGGCAGTCACTAGGAGGGTGCCAGGAGGCCTATGGCCCTCCTGCAGGAGGACTTGTGGGTCTTCAGCTCTCAGAGTGGGATCCTAGATCAAACCCTCAAGATCTCTTGGAGCAAGTGAGCAATTTAAGAGGCAGAGAGGTAACCACAACTCAGGGAAGCACACGTCCAGGCTGGACCTGCAGTTGGTATCCCTTGTGCTGAGTGTGTAATGAAAGGCCCACTGGGAGCCTGAGGGAAAGCATCTGACAGCAGCAATGGTGACTGCAGAGGTGGTCACTGCGGGACACGCCTGGGGGCTCCCAGCCACACCATGCTACCGCGACACTCCCCGGGGGTGGACACAGCTTGCCAGTGCTAAGATTGTGCTGGAGGCTGGGCCTCGGAACACAGGATGCGGGAGGCTCCGTTTTCTAAGCTGAGGGTGGAGGCTCCTGTCTCTGTTAGTTCTGTGACAGGGGCATGTTACTGTTTGTTTCTAGATGTCCCCCAGAGCCTCATGAAGTTTTAGATGAGGCTTTTGCAGAGGTGGCTGAATCTAGAGAGTGTGTGTGTGTGTGTGTGTGTGTGTGTGTGTGTGTGTGTGTGATTGATTCACGGTACAGTGCTAGGCCCAAGGGCACTAGTACTGGGGGTTTGAGTGCTACCTGCCCTGTGTAGTCTGCACAAGATGAAAGCAGCAGAAAGATGCAGGTGAGGACCCCTGCCTTGCTCCTTTGTTGCTTTGGTCCGCCGTGAAATGTTGCCCCTCTGCCACGTGCCGCTCTGACCTGGAGCCGGCCGATTGTGGACCAAATCCTCTGCAGACTGTGAGCTCAGCTCTTTCCCCTTTAACTTTAGGTGTTGGGTATTTTGTCTCAGTGAGGAGAGAAAAGCCACTGACACGTAGAACCCCCTTCTGTGACTTTATTGTTGCTGGCTTGGGTGGCAACACTAGCTCTGTGGATAAATAGGAGTCCGGCTGGGTTGTGACCGGTGACCATTCTATGCTCCTCCCTCAGAGACTTCAGCCCGTTCTCAGGGCCCCCGGTGACCTTGCAAGGTGGCCACACATAGCCTTGACCCTCTGCAAAGGTTGGGTGTCTTCACTCTGTAAGAAGAGGGCTGCGTGTCCCTCCGGCCTCAGGTCCCCCAGGGAGACCCCCTCACTTGTCCCTTGGACCGCTCTGAGGGATCTGAACCAGGACCCAGTCCTCAGACCACGCATCCAACAGCCTCATCATCAAGTGGAGCTTTGTTTTTCCCTTGGACTCGCCTGTTTTATCCCCAGAACTTTTGTGATGTTCTTGGTCTATGTGGTTCTTCTACAGTAGAAGACCTCAGACTGGGTGATTGACTTATAAAGAAAGGAGATTTGTTGCTTCAATTCTGGAATCTGAGAAATCCAAGTTCAAGAGGTGGCCCCCGGCGAGGGCCTTCTGGCCCCTTCATATCATGGCAGGAGGCATCAGTGGGGAGAGCATGTGTGTGAGAGAGAGAAGGGAAGAGGACCAAACTGTCCTTTCACGGGCAACCGGCCCCTGAGGCAGAGCCCTCAGCACCTGCTCACCTTCCACAGGGCCCCCTTCAGGTCGCTGTTGCCCTGGGAATTCCCTTTCCAATATTCACACCGTGGCGGTGATTTCATAAAAGCCCCCTCTCCAGTCCGTGCATCCATGTGTGTTGGGAAAGGAGAGATCCTCGGCTGCGTGCATCCTGAGATCAGACAGCTTTGTGTGGGGCCGTGAGAGCAAGTGCCGCCTGTTAAGTATTTATTAGAGAGTGAGACCGGCCCTTATGAGTTGGTGAGGTTCTAAGAAGACTTCTCAATTAAAGAGGACATGGACTTCCTGACTGCAGACGGACTATCAGAGTGAGTGAAATCCCTAATGGCAGATGTCCCTGTGTTGACAAACGGTCTCTCCACCTTCTCTCAATATGCACCTTTGACTCAGCCCCTCTCCCCACACAGGGACTCTCTGGTGAGCGATACTTATTGCTCTCCGTGGCTCATGGGCTGTGCTGGTGTCCTCAGCCTCGTGCAGCTGGGACTTCAGAGCCAGGACCCAGCTCAGCAGTGTCTGCTCCGAGGCTCGCTTTTCCGTTTTCTCTGCGCCCGACCCCAGGGAGGCTGAAGTGTCCACTGGGACAAGATTTAGCAGATTCAGGACAGGCCTTCCAGGCGCCTTCTCTGCCTGTCCTGTCCCACCCTATATAGCGTCAAAGCAGAGCCAGTCACCGGGTCAGCTGTGGACACAGGTTGGGGCAGAGTCCAAGAAGAGTTTCCTCTTCCACTTGAGGAAAGACACTGCGAGCACATTTCAGTGCCTTTGGAGGAAACTACAAATGGAAAGAGAGGTGAACATTTCAAACTGGACCCCAGGTCAGTCCTGAGACATCGGAGAAGAAAGGGGAGAAGAGTAAGGGATGATGGAGCAGGAGGCTCAGGGGAGGATGGGATTTGCTTGTGTCTGTGGACACAGGCTGAGAATTATTTTCCCCACAATCTTTTCAGATAGAATCAAAGCACTCACCCCAGAGATTTGTCCTGATGCTCCAGGATCCCCTTCCCAACACCGAGAGAAGCTGACAGTGACCCTACAGTAGCAGGGTCATGGGTGAGGCAGGTATGGGATCTGCTATGACTTTAGTGACTTGTAGGTGGTTTTCAGGGCCTCCCGCCGATTAGCCAGGAACACTCCAGGCGGGGCTAGAGGATGCATGAAGGGAGAAGCCAATGTTTGTGCTTGGCTGGAAACATGGGTCTTGCAGGGAACCAGTGGAGGTTTCTGGGCCATCAAGAGCAAGCATGATAAAGCCACATGTGATATTATCAGAATGAAGCGGAAGTTATTGGCCTGTAGAAGGCCACAGTATTTCTCTGATTCACACTGTGACTTTCTTTTAAGAAGTCTCAACCACAAACCCTGTGTTCACAGAGCCTGACTCAGAAGCATCACAGGTGGTCCATGGAAGAAAACAAGGGATATCTGGGAAGCGGGGTCAGAGGGGGGACACTGACTCCTGGTGGAGTCTGGCAGGAACAGCTGCTTCTACTAATTTCTGTGCCCGAGAGAGCAGGCCTGGTCCTCGGTGTTAGCAGGGAGGAAGCAGGACTGTCAGCCACCAGTCTGGCCGGGTGAGGGTGAGGCACGCATTGCGGTAAGGATGTAGCCCCTGTCACCTGGATGAGAAGGAGGAAGATGAGGGACAGGGGAGGAGGAAGGAGAGCCAGAAATGCCCATGGCAGTGAGCAGTGAGGTTACAGTGTCTTCTAAAACCCAAGAGAGCAAGAGCCCCCTGACTACCTCAGAATTGAACCAGCACACAGCCGGGCGTGGTGGCACATGCCTGTAATCCCAGCACTCAGGAGGCTGAGGCAGGAGGATCGAGAAGGAGGAAGATGAGGGACAGGGGAGGAGGAAGGAGAGCCAGAAATGCCCATGGCAGTGAGCAGTGAGGTTACAGTGTCTTCTAAAACCCAAGAGAGCAAGAGCCCCCTGACTACCTCAGAATTGAACCAGCACACAGCCGGGCGTGGTGGCACATGCCTGTAATCCCAGCACTCAGGAGGCTGAGGCAGGAGGATCGCTGGGAGTTTGAGACCAACCTGGGCTACATAGCGAGTTCCAGGTCAGTCTCAACTACATACTGAGACCCTGTCTCAAAAGAACTGAACCAGCACAACTCTGAAAACCCTCCCATAGCCCAGCAGCCACAGGGCCATCATGTCAAATGTCAGAGGGAGGGAACAAGGTGTGGCCTCCAGGAGGGCCAGGGAGTGGCCAGAGGCTCCTGGGACTGCATGCAGTTCGCAGTCTCTGAAGAGCCTCTAGATCACTTAATCATTCAGAACTCTTTACTCCTCCTGTCTTCTACCATAAAACTATTGAGAGTTGCTGTCTGTTGGTGCCCTGTGCTGGTTGTGGGGTCTACTGGAGAGGGAAAGAGCAAAGTCTTCTCCACTATGCTTTAGGGAGTAACACGCAGCACCGCAGGGATCACATCATTCCGCCCAGGAATGGTGCAGACCAGCTGCCTGAGGGGAGTGGCCCGGACACTCCTTGTACTGATTCTGAGTTTTGAGGCAGGTGAATTACTTCCAGAGTAAAGGCTTCTTAATTCCCTGCTTTGCTCTCACCCCAGACCAGACTCTCCCTGAGCTTTGATGCCTTAGAAGCTGTGTTCCGGGGACCCACAGAGGCCTAAAAAGAGTGGAGGAGAGGATGGGGTTGTGGTGTAGACGTACATCTCATGCCTCGGATCTGCCACCATGATCTCTGTGATCCTGATTTAACCTTGTATTTTGTGCCTCAGCCTCCCTGCTAACTATTGTAAAATATTATAACTGGTAAATGGTGTCTGGGCTGCCACGCTATCTTGAGTTACTTTAAAACATTCAGAATCAAATGCCAGTTGATACAGACGTGCCGCCAAGATAAACAGCATCTATTACAGACTGTCCCCGAGAGAGGGGTTCTCAGGCCTGGTCCCTGGTAGACAGGGCCCTGCCAGGAAACTGATTTCCCCTCTGTTCCCGCCTCTGCAGACCCTCATCTCCCTGTAGAAGCTCGTGAGTCCTCCAGGGCAGATGGCTAGCTGGCAGGGAGCCTGACCGTCTGTGTCCTCCCTGCCAAGGCTCAGGTGAAAGGCTGACCCTGACTCAGTGCGGCTGTTGAGGCTGAGTGACCACTTACAGGAGGAGATTTGAGTTCCAGACAGCCTGAAGGTCATTGCTTCTGATCAGCTCTGTCCAGGAGACCCAAAACCATCCCCGGCCACAAGCTCCCCAGGGTCACCCGGGGTCAGGAGCCTGAGCGGCGACTTCCTGAGCTGTTTCTCTGTGAGTATCCCAAGGGACCCCTCAGCCAGGCCCTGACTCAGTCCTGCTAGGTCTTTCTTGGGACTCATGTTCATAGATAGTGTTCTGAGGGTGGAGACGGACCTCCCTGGGCTGAGCTACCCCACAGACCTTCCTCTCTGCAGGGTGGATTTAGGTGAAGGATTCTGATCTATGGAAATGTACTCATTGTGTGTGTCCTGCACTAAATGTTAAATCCCCAAGAGGGGCTGCAAGGCAGAGAGGGTGGTAGGCCGAGCCTGGGTCAGACAGTCCTGACACAGTCGGAGAACACCCTGAGGACAGAGGACACAGACTTCTGGGCCTTTAAACTGCTCCCCATGAAACTCAGGGCTCATTTATTCCTCTGAGGCAGGTGGGACTTACAAAATACTTTTGCTGAGAAAAACAAACAAACAAGCAAAGAAACACTGACTCTTCACTTGAGCTTACAGACACCTAATAAGTAACGAGACACAGAAGAAAGTCTGACCTTCGTTTTGTATCTGTTTAACTCATTACCTGACAACTTTGGGTCAGATCCCTGCTCAGCACGGAGCCAAGCGAAGCACTGAGGGTGTCACTGTCCAGAAGCTGGCAACGCGGTTGACGGGCCCTACATTTTCATACCGTTTCATCCCCTTCAAGACCGAGGCCATCGAGATCAGTGACATTTGCCAAGGTGTGGTGGGGGATGAAGACAAGACAAAGAGATAAAAAAGCGGAGGCCTGGGGGAGCCTTCCTCCTGACAGTGGAAAAGGACTTCCTGGGGAGTGCAGCGCACGTATTTGTAGTGGTAGAGGTAAAGGAAGTGAACGGGGTGCCCGTGATCGGAACAGGGAGAGTGGCTAGGGTCTGCAGGACGTCGTGTCCTCTTCTCAGCTGGGCCTCGCTCCACCTAGGTGCCCTCCCGTCACCTGCTCTCTTCCCGTGAGGCCCCGTCTTGTCCTCTGGAGGAAGCGAACAAGATGCACTTTCCTCATTCCCCTCTGGGCCCTGCCTCACCTGTGGGAGGAGGTGAGTTAGGCCCGACCCTAGTGATCTACAGCGCAGTGCTCCAAGTAGACATTAAACTGCTAATGAGCTCCCAGAGGTCTCCAGCCACTTCCCTAAACCTATGGTTGCCTGGGATTCCAGCAGAGCCTCAACAAAACTGAGACTTCCTTATGCAGAAACCATCGTCTCATGGAGCTCGAGTTGCAGCCCACCCTCATGAGGGCCTCTCACGGAGCCATCTTGAAAGCCAGAACTGAGGCGATCGATGAGACCCCAGCTCACCTCTGCAAATTCCGAAAGGCTGATCTTCCTCTGTGCCAAGGAAGCAGTCTGATCCTGTCCGTCAGAGAGCTGCCCCCTTGAGCTCCTCCAGTTGAAGCCCCTTCCCCATTGTCTCTTACTTTCTAACCCTGCCTAGTTAATCAGCCTGTGCCTCCCACTGCTGCGTCCCTAAATGCTTTTCGGCTGTGATGTCTCAAACCTGTCCAGGGTGAGATGAAGTCCCCATCTTCTCTCTTTTGGGGACCTCCTCAAACCCTGTCTAGTGACAGTCCTGGTACGGCAAGTGGGATTCACCACACCCCACAGCGGACGTAGGGAATCACTCGTGGTGTACATAGAACAGGTCCAGATTCTTCTTGACCACACCCCAATCTGAGTTTACAGTTTGTACAGAGTAGTACCCTGTGTCCTCCTGGGTGAAGTCTGGAATAGCTGGGGTCCATTTGGGTAGGCACCAGGCTAATCTTCTCGGAACTGTCTAATTTTAGTATACATGCTGTCCAAGTACTCCACTTGGGAATACCGTTTCTCTTGAGCTGTATGCAGGCCCTGGAGTGAGTACTTGATGGCTGTTCTTTATGCTGCAACCCAAAGGGGGGAGACAGCCCCTCGCCCTTTGTACCACAGACAGCCATGAGGATTCTCTGGCAGACTGTGGACGAGTAGAACATCCTTGCCTTCTGCAGCATCGAAGGGCACCAATTCAACTGTGAGTTGGGCAGTGGTGGGTGAGTTCCAGACGGTTAAAAGCAAGGTTGAGAGGGAGGACAGAGGAATCCATCAACGGTGAGATCTTCCTATTGGGTGGAAAGATGGGGCTCTGAGTCCTGAGCGGGTGTTTTCTTCCCGCATCCTTGGTGACAAGCGCGTTTGTCTGTGTGTGTCCACTGTAGTGTCAAGGTCAGAAGCACCCAGCCCTCAACACTGGAACGTATTCACTGGGTGTCTGCGTGGCTCACTGCTGGCTGCTCTCAGGTCCTGCTCACGTCCAGGGCATCCTGGGGGAGAGGCCTTCCCTGACCACCTCCCCTAGAGACCCTGCGTCTCTCTCACCTTTCTCCACCCTGTTCATTCCCAGGCTCTCGTCAGCACCTAATCTCGCCTTCCAGATGTCCTTGCTGGTCTGTCTCCCTGCCACTAGGACCAGAGATCTGTGAAGATAGGGACCTGTCTGCCGTCTGTTGGAGCGGAGTCTGGATGAATGAGTGCTCCTGAGGCCCTGCATATCCAGCGGTTTATTTGTCACTTTTTCAGCTTGGTGCCAAAGGACAATGTTCAATGCCCATACTGTGTTTTTTAACCCATGGTGTCTTTATTTGGAGAGTCACCCTGACATAGTTGTGAACATCAGTTTTCAAAATGCAGGGGCCAGTGATGATTGACTTGGACAGAAAACAGTGGTGCTTTTCCTTCCCTTTATCAGTTTTGGCTCCCTGAGAGTTTCCTGTCGCTGAGCTTTCTGTCTCTCTTTCATGTCCTCTCCCCTCAGGCTGCAACAGAAGCCCAGGGCCACCTCTCAAGGTCTGACGTGGAGTTTCCAGCCAGACTCTGTCCTCCCATCCTCCTACCATGGCTCTCTCAAGGAAGCATCGCATCTCACTTGTGAACAGAAGCCCCTGGTGAGTGAAGCTTCTCTTCAGAGAGGGACTGAGGGCGTCTCCGTGGTCTCTGCTGCCTCCCTCAGTGGAGAGGAGCTTCGTCTCCAGAATGGCTCCAGAGCAAGCCTGCTCAGTTGGGTCAGCTCTGGTCCTTCTTCTCTGTGAGCTGTACTCCAGGGCAGGAGTACTTGCGAGGGTCACATGACTGGAGGCAACCTCTCTGTCCCTTCCCTCAGTCCTGCCTTCTGGCCCCTCTTCCCCTTGCCCCCGGTGACCCTTCAGTACTCAGACCACACTTGGAGGAGCAGAGTCAGAGAAAGTAATTGTAACTGGGAGAAGGTTATGAGGGCCAGTGTCGGGGCATCCAGAGCCTTATGTACCAAGCTGGTCTGGGCATCAGCCCCCTGTGAAAGAGTCCTTTAGGCTGAGGCCTAAAGACAGTGGATGCTCCCTCTGGGATGCTGGAGAGGTCAGGAGCTCTCGGAAGAGGGGCGGCCTTCAGCTTGGAGGAGACTGAGGCCAATGGGGGAGCTTGGGGAAAGAGGAAGGCTGTGGTGTGAGGCTGGTCTGGGGAGGCTCCGACCCTGCTGGACACTGCGCCCTGCTCAGGGGTCAGCAGCCCCCAGGAGACGGCAAGCCAGGGGTTGTGCGCCCTCTGGTGGACAGAGAGGGAAGTGTCGATGGCGGTGTCAGGAAATTTTATGCAACATCATCCTTAAGCATTTATCAGATTTACATCTCATTGCAATGATGGGACACATTCTGACTTGAAGTCTCAATGTCTCTCAACCAAACCCTCCTCTAATCTGTCCATGAAATATCACCAGACTCCGATGTGTGGTCTGAAGCTGTGTCTGCAAAACTGGGGTCCAGCCCCACAGGCGTGGGCCTCTGGTGGGCTGTGTGTGTGAGCAGGAGAGGGGAGGACCGGGGTCCCTGAAGCCTCACCTGAGCCAGGGTGCTCAGGTGCACAGGGCTTCATCCCATCCCCTCTTCACACTGTCTCAGAGATGCTGAAATCAGAAGCCTGTTGTGGCACAGCGTTCTGAGCCTCCTCTTCCCTCCCCGGGGCATCTCTGTCCTCTGCACCCTCAGGGCAACTGGGCCTCCCTGTGGTGGGGAAGGTGGTGGATGTGGTGTGGGGGCTGCTTCAGCAGAGAAGCAGGCATCAAGGTCAGAGACACCTGTCACCCTCACAACTACCCACGCCTCTCAGGCATGAACCCCTGGGTCTCTGCCACAATGGGGTCCCTCTGTCTCTGCAGCTCCACCAGCACCAACCGTATTTGAAGGAGATGATTTGGGGCTCCTGTGCTCACCATTCACAACTGTGAGCTAGCCAGATGAGAGGGTCACACTTCTCTCCTCTTTGGAGATATCTGAGGTGTGTCACAGGACAGGTGGCACTGGGTGGGTTGGGGACAGAACAGGTCCTCACCTCTGCCATCTTGTTCCCACCCCGTGGTGTAATCAGCCATACTCGGGTCTGCTACGCCCACCTGGGCTCATGCACCAGAGCCTCACTGTGTTTGGTTGAGACAAATGGTGGAGGCTCTGCTGGAATCCAAGGTAATCATGAGTTTAGGACAATGATCAGAGACCTCTGGGACCTCGTCGGCAGTTTGATGTCCCTGTCTCAGCGTCCTGCTCACTGCTGGTGCTGATGCGCTTCCTCCCCTGCACAGGGAGGCCCAGAGTTCACTTCTGCATGCCTGAGAGAACATATCTAATGCTCTAAGGCTATAGTGACTGAATTATTAGGAACTCAAGGGACTTCTTTTGTCTTCTGACTTATCGTAGGTTTGTTCTTGTTTATTTGCATCTCTGAGAGGTGAAAGCAGATGACATGAGGGAAAATGGTGTCAAGAAGAGTTGTGGCAGGGCCGGGGATTTAGCTCAGTGGTGCCACTGCCTTCCTCGCAAGCGCAAGGTCCTGAGTTCAATTCCTGGTACCCCCCAAAAAAGAAGAGTCTCGGCAATTTGACACCCTCAGGGGTGAAGGAAATACAGATGCTATTGTGTTTGTACACTGAAAAGTGATAGTTTCACTGCTACCCAAGAGCAAATGTTCAAACTTTACATCCGGAGGAGCCCTGTGGAATCAGTGCATGTCTGCAGGTGAAACAGTTATTTGGAATTATGTATTCCCTGAAGTGGTCAGGTTCTCTTTATATTTTATCATCACCACACAGGCCCCACTTGAGCAGGAATTGAAGAAGCTGAAGTCTGCCCCTGCCACTTATTTTATCTCAAGTCCTTTAGTGACTTTGACATCTCAACACAGCCATGAGTTCACACCTAGGTATGCATACCCCTCTCTGGGACACACCCAGGAGACTTCGGGGACTGTGGGTACGAGTGGGACTAGGGCAGGCTGAGCTAGGACATACAAGGCATGTTGTGGCTTATATCTAGAGATCTCCCAAAGCCTCATGAGTTTAAGGTGGGGCTTCGTGGAGGTGGTTAGATCATGAATGTGTGCAACTGGATTTGGGACGTGTGATAACTGGATTAGTCTACTAATTGGTTTACCATGGTTGTGGGTGATGAAATTACTGACGAGGCGGTGACTGAACCTCCGGGTATTTTTGGAGGGGTGGCAGTGTGCTGGGGGATCAAAGCCAGGGCCTTTCATAGGCTGTGCAAGCTCCCGACTACTGAGATAAACGCCAGCCCCTGAACCTCAGGGCCAGAGACACAAGCGTGGTGAGGCTGGGGCCGCCGGCTGTCCACCTCCCGAAGCCACCCTCCAGGTTCAGCAACCTGCCATGCAGGGGGTTGCAGGAGATGTATGGAAGCTCTAATGACAGAAAACGGGTCACAGTAGGTAATTTGGAGGAGACTTGGGCCAGCCCCGTAATAACTTCGTACTGTGCTTTTCTTGCATAGGATGGAAACGGCCGTTTGCTCCCCCCCGCCCCTTCTCATCTGAGACCTCCGAACCCGCGATCCTGAGGCGCCGTCCACGGTGCTGGCCTCTATGGACTTCTGAAGGGCTGGTGAGCTGTGAACTCCCGGTTCTTTATTCCTAACATCTGAGCATTATCACCAGGGAGAAGGAGGGCGGGTGCTAGGGCATGGTGCACCCCGCGACACTTTTTAGGAGCTCGAGGGTGCTGGGGGCAGTGGCAGACACAACAGTCTGGTCACCTGAGTCCAGGTGCCGATGTGTAGTCTTTAGTGAAAGGAGGACAAAATCTCAAGGGCCTCTGCTTACCACAGAGGGAGGAGGGCAGAAGAGTCAAAACAGGAGGGCGGTGTGAGGATGGAGCTGAGCAGAGAGGGGTCCCAGAAGGCCACTCTGTTGGCTTCAAAGATAAAGGAGGGGCAGAGTCCAGGAGGCGGCTGCCAACGGCTGGCAAAGGAAATGGCCCGTTCTGTGGAGCCTCCAGAGAATGCATCCACACTGACTCCTTGGTTTGTGTTGTTCTATCCACTGCATCTGTGGAATCTGTGACAGCTTCAGTAGCAAAAGAACACAGGTGGAGCCCCCTGTCGGACCTATGCACATGCAGGATAGACTCGCGGGAGCTGAATCACAACACTCAGGCAGTGGCAGGATGCGCTCTGAGCTTTAGTGCACGGACCAGCTTGTTTGTGGGAAAGTGGTTCCCGTGTGAGTGAGGCCGTGTGTAGACGTCACCCAGGGACCTGCCCAGGGCCTCAGGGAAGGACTGAGAGCAGCAGCCCAGGTGCGTGGAGGAAATTACAGCTGGGAAATTGCAGCGCAGGGCAGGGCAGGGAGGAGATTTTGGTTCTGTCACCTGGGGGCCCTGGCCGTCTGCCCTGGACAACTGAGTGTGAACAGGAAGCTTGTTCCAGAGAGACCAGGTCAGGGTGTAAAGTGGAAAATGGGGGTGTGCAGGGTGAGGGGCCCTGGGCACCGCCGGGGAGGATCTTGCTCAGGTCCTGAATTTGACTCTGTGTCCTGCTCAGTTACACTGTCAGCCTGTGTCCCCACAGGGGTGAAGTTGTCCTGAGCACTGGTCTTCTGGGCAGAGGAATTCTGTGGCCAAGACGAGCTGCCCTGGGTGCCTGGAGTGTCGGGGTATGGGGAACCATGCCTTGGGTGTTAAGAACAGTTTCTTTGGGAAAGCATGACGCAGTATCTACTTTGTGTTGGATCCCGCAGTAAACGCTGAAGTCAGGGTTTAGTAATTCCTGTGGACAGAGTAAAGAGGCCCCGAGGCCCGCATCCCTCTTGGGTGCAGCCCCTCCTTCCTCTGCACACCAACCCCTGATCCTTCATCACTGCTGTTTCTGGATCTCAAAGCTCAGCTGGATGTTGGGCACGGACAGTGCCAGTCCCCCCTTGGTCCTGTAGGACCAGATTATTCACCGCCCACACTCACTTCATGGATGAGAACGGTTGCTCTGGAGCTGGGGAAGGAAGAAAAACCAAACATCAGGGGACAGGCAGGAAGGTAAGGAAGGTCCTGGAGGCTGAGGCCCACTGAGCAGGTGCGTTGTCATTCACTGTCCTTATTTCGCAGCTCACTCGCATTGCACAGTCAGCCCGAGGGGTCTACTGGAGCTGCCCAGGCAGGAGACTTCACACTGACAGCCCCTTAACAGGGTCTATGCTGGGCCTGCCATGCTCCTGGGACAGCTTCATCTCCTCCGTGAGCCACAGAATCTGGCTAGTGGAGATCCACGGGATGGAGGGTCCAGGGTCGTCTGAGAGGCAGGTCAGGACCACAGAATCCTGTTCTGTGTTACCGATGTGGATAGAGGTTGTGTCACCGGCTCGGCTGACAAACACGAGGGACCATCAGAGGCTGCGACCGGGACCTGGGCCATGCTCGTTCATCAAAGACCTCAGCCAACTTTCAGGGCCCACAGTGAGGTATATAATATAACCTGCAGACAGGAAAGATCCTTTGGGGAGTGGGGTGAAGAACCTAGAAATGAGGGGTCTTGCTCAGGGGTAGACCCCTTGGGTAGCAATGAGGTTCTGGGTTCAATCCCCAGCACTGCAAAACTAAAGCAAGCAAGCATAATCCCAGAAATTAAACAACCTTGTTATCTTTGTTCTGAGCTGTGGCACAGGTTTTCCCTTGGACTAGGCACAAAACCTCCTGGGCTTCTGTCTCCTCACCTATAGAACTATGACAAAGAAAGCCCAGGTCCCTGTGCAGTGACCCCTGACTGGTCCCCTGGACATATCTGTAGAGTCCACGCTAGTGACCTCATCTCAGCTGCAGCATCTTCGTCATCAAGTGGGAAGCCACACCAGACCCTTTTCTAGGGTCTTCCTTGACTTCACACAACACTGGGCCACTGCATCCAGTTGGGAAAGGAGGCCATTATTTTTTAATCCATCCAACCACACCAGCTTTACATCAGAAATGTGACCTCTTTGTTAAAGTTAAAACAGTATAATACAGAACAAGGATGGACCAAACTCATCCTTATGACAGGAACTAGAGAGTTTCCCATTTAATCAGTGTTTGTCTGAAGAAGGTTTTCCTTTTTGGCCTGTGGATTGAAGTCCACGGTGAAGAATATCTCTGGGAGAGGTGGTTACAGTGTTGGCAACAGGCTGGGACACAGTATTCTCGTGAAACTAAGTTTTGTGACACTTCCTATGGGATACAGGGTGGCAGTTATTCCAGGCTGTTTTCATTTCTATTTTATTTTATCTTTTGTAGTACTAGGGATTGACCTAGGGCCTAAGGTTCATCTCCAGATTTTTTTTTTTTTTTCATTTTGAGACGGAGCCTCTCTAAGTCATTAAGTTGCTCAAGCTGGACTCTAGTTTATGGTCTTCCTGCCTCCGCCTCCCAGAATACTGGGATTATAGGAGTGAACCACACACCTGGCTGTACACTGGAGAGGGGTGGGCTGTGGTGAGATATCACTTCAGATCCATCCAATCACAAAGACAGCTACAGCATGTGTCCAAGTGCACAGAAACTGGAACCCCCCTCCCATACTGCTGTGGTAACACAGAATGGTGCAGTTGCTGGGAAACCATCTGGCAGTTTCAGGCTGTTAAGCAGTTACCAAACTATACTCTTGTCCGGGGGCTGTATCCGGGAACCACTGAGTTAAATTCCCGGCCCTACGCTCTCCAGAACATTCGGTCCCCGCCATGGGAACCTTTCTGTCAGGTAACATTTCAAAGTCTTGAGAACCTACATTTTTTTGGGGGGGGGTACCAGGGGTTGAACTCGGGACCTTGAGATTGTAAGGCAGGCGGGTGGCAGCACCACTGAACTAAATCCCAAGCCCCAAGCCCCTACTTCATGTCTTCTAAGACTTGTCCCATACCGGTTCTGGCCGGTGGCTTCCTTAACAGGTAGGGCTGCAGTGCCTTGTGTTGGCGCCACCTGGTGGAGACATGGCATCACCGCAAGTGTGTGGATGGACCCCACCGAAGTAAGCGGACCCCCGTGTGTGATTTTTAAATGTTCTCATTGTCACATATATTTTTTTGGTACCCGGCCCTTGCACTTGCGAGGTAGGCAGCAAAACCATTGAGCCAAATCCCTGGCTCCTCATTGTCATATTTTAAAAATCGCAAAAAAAAAAACAAGTGAAAATCATTTAAAGAATATATATTTTTTTAAAAAAAATATATTTTATTCAACTCAGTGTACTCAACTCAACATGTTATCAACAAAAAGAGTAACTCAGCAACTAGGTGAGACTCTCTCAAATTAAAAAAACATTGCCGGGGATATTTATTCAACTCAGTGTACTCAACATGTTATCAACAAAAAGAGTAACTCAGCAACTTGGTGAGACTCTCTCAAATTAAAAAAACATTGCCGGGGATTTAGCTCAGTGGTTCCGCCGCCTGCCTTGCAAGCGCAAGGACCCGAGTTCAATCCCCGGTACCAAAAAAATAAAAAATTAAAAAAAAAAGAAAATTAAAAAGGACTGGAGATGTAGCTTACTGCAAAGGCCTTCAGTTCAACCCTCAGTACAAAAACAAAAAGGGCAAATGAGTAGTATAGTATTAAATTCATAGAGACACTGAAAGTAGTCATTGCCAGAGGGGTGGGGGGATGGAGGCGTGGAATGGCGAATTATTTATTCATGGGGACAAAGTTTCAGTTTTGCAAGATAAGAGTTCTGAAGGTTGCAGGGGGTGTGGTGGTGGACACCTGTGAGCCCAGCACTTGGGAGGCTGAGGCAGTAGGATCGCTGCAACTTTCATGCCAGCCTAACCTACATAATGAGCCGGAGGCCAACCCGAACTAACTACACAGCAAAACCCTGTCTGAAAAAAACAAAAGTTCTCAAAAAGTGGACGTAACCAAGGTCCCTGAGTGGTACACTTAAAATGGTTACAATGATCGATTTTGTTAAACGTATTTCATCACAATAAAATCTTCACAGACAAATGTAATTTCAGTAGTATTTTATACTGATAAACTGAAAACGTCATTTCAACATGTAATCAATTCTTTTAAATTATTGAGGGGTTTAGCCTCCCTTACCATCCTGGCCTTGGAAATCTGCTGTGTATTTCAGTCACATCACATCTCAATCTGGACTCGCCAATGTTTCAAGTGCTCCCTGGCCACACTGGGCTACGGACAGTGTGGGTCTTCAAGTGCGGGTCTTCAACCGAAGGTGCAGAGATCGACCGGGGTCTCCCGCACAGTAGAGGCTCCCCAGCACCTGCAAACAACTGTGCCACAGCAAGGGGCCAGCATCTGGACACACAGTCTCAGAGAAAGTGCTTGCCAAGGAGCGTGTTGATTCCAAATCTGAATGGACCTGCAAATCTCCCCTCGTTTGCATAAATCTGCATCTCGTGTGCATGAGCATCACCTCAGATCGTCATCTCAAAGTCAGGCAGGCGCCAGGCTGGGCTGGAGGCCCCCCTGTGTCCCTCGTCCTACATTCCCTGGGGCTCTTCGTCCTCGTCCTCTTCTTCCAAGTCGCCACTCTCCGCCTCCTCCTCTTCCAGGATGACCAGCTCCTCCTGAAGGGCCCCCATCTCCAGCCCCAGGCTGCACAGCTGGCCTAGCAGCTGGACATCCAGTCTGCGCAGGTTCCCCTGCCAGGAAGGAGGGCCGTCACGGCGTGCCACCCCGGGGCCAGGGGGTCCTGCGGGACCCGGATGGGAGCGAGTCCCAGCGTGGGTCCCGGCCCCACAGCACCCAGCAGGTCTCCGTCGTGTACCTCGCAGGGTGTCATGACCCTCCCTGTCTTTGCTTCTTGACGTCTTCATCCCGCACTATGTCTCTCCCGTCGGTCTCCGTTCCTTTACGTCCCCGTCTTTCTGTGTCTCTATTTCTGTGTCCCCACTTCTCTGCCCTTGTCCTGTCTCAGGTTCAGTTTGGATCTCTCTCTGTCCCTGCTCTCAACCTCTGACTTCTGTTTGTCCCTCTTTCTGAGTCTCTCTGCCTCTATTCCTGTCTCTCATTCTGGGTCTCTGCCTCTCCTGTCTGTGTCTCTATTGCTCTACTCCTCTTGGTTCCTGTCTTCCAGTCTCTGGCCCTTTCTAGTCTTATTCACTCACACTCATTCATTCATTCTCTCTCGTCCTCGTCTCTGTCCAAACCTCACTCACCAACTCCTGCCAGATCCACAGCAGGCTCTCCCTGGCACCTCCAAGATGCGCCTCCAGGGTTGTGAGGGTCTGGCCAGGGCTCTCCTCTGGAGGGTCCCCCCTCAGGACCCGAGGGGGTGGGCCCAGTCCTGCAGGCTCCAGTCCAGCCTGCTTCAGCTGCAGCCACAGCTCCATAGTCCCAGCCTTGGCCTCCAGGACCAGGAAGTAGCAAGGTCCAGGGTGACCCAGTCCTCTGGGGAGCTGGGGGAGGGCAATGAGGGGACCAGGCAGATGCATCCCAAAGTCCATTCTTCAGTTAGAACCAGCTGGCTGGTTCTGTTTTTTTTTTTTTTCCAACCTCACCCCCTTGTGGAGGCCAAACTCCACCAGCCTTCCTCTTCTCGGGCCTGACCCACACAGGCGCTCAGTGTTTGCATCTGCCTGGCCTCATCTTCCTACCTCCCCGGGGCCCTCCCACACCTCCTGCCCCTTTGCTGAACTCTCTCCACTTGACCTAGGTTTGCCCAAATCCCAGTCCTCCCACCAGTGTCCCTGAGTGTCCGGGCTGCTGGCTACCGTGAAGTGGACAGCTCTGCCGACCCTGGACCTGTCACAACTATTAGCAATGTCAGGGCGGCCCTGCTGCCAGTCTCCCTCCGCCCCTCTAAAGCCCACCATGTTACCATCCCTGGGTAAGCCAATGGCTCCCAAGGTCCTGACCCCATCGTGAGCTCCAGCCCCCAACTCAGCAGCTCTAAGGGCCTGACTCAGACATCTCAAAGTCACCTGGTCAGAACGGAACTCTCAGTCAGGACCTACTCTCCCAGACTCATTTCCTGCTGGCACCATAAGAAACTACCACAATCTTGTGGCTTAAAACAAAAGTTATCCTTGTACATACAGTTCTGGAGGTCAGAAGTCTAATTTAGGTGCACAAGGCTAGTTCCTTTTGTTGGCTGTAGGGAGAAACCTATTTCCCAGTCTTTCCAAGCTTCTAGAGGTCACCTGCTTTCCTTAGCTCATGGCCCCTTTCTGAGGTCACTCTGTCATTCAGTCCCCTACTGAACCTGACCCTCCAGCCTCCCTGTGATTACACTGGCCCTACACAATTACCCATGATAATCTTCTTACCTCGAGATTTTTAACGTCATCACATATGTAAAAGCCCCTTTTACCATACGAAAGTAACGGGTCACGGGTTCCAGGGACCTGGATACCTGGAGGGGGTCCTTCATCCTACTGTCCCTGCTCTACCGAACCTGCAGCTTCCGGAATTCCTTCTGCAGCTTCCGGAATTCCGACATCTCCGCAAGTGACAACAGGATCCTATTAGTTCCTGCAGCTGTTGATTCGACCTTCAAAATAGATCCAGAAGCGGACTACTTCTCGCTGTTGTCACTGCCCACCCAGTTCCAGTTCATCTCACCTGGACTATCGCAGTAGCCTCTCGGCCGGTCCCCTGCATCCACCCTTGTCCCCTAAGATTCGTTCTTCACCTGGCAGAAATTATCTTTTCAAAATGTAGATCAGATATTGACACGCTCCTCTTCCCCCTGGGAACAGACTAAAATCCTACACAGTCAGCCCCGGCCCGCCTCTCTGAACCGGCCCCGCACTTCGCTCCGCAAGCCGGCTGCCTCTTAGGGCCTTTGCAGAAACTGTTACCTCCGCCCGGGACTCTTCCCCCAGAAGTGGATGCCTGTTTCCTTATCATTCGTGTCCACTTCTGTGTCACCTCTTCAGAGAAGCTTTGCTGATGACTCTACGCCTACGCCCCATCGTTCCCTGTTACAGTGCCTGTTTTTATCTACTTCTAATCTAACCCTTCCTGAAGTTATCTTGTTTATTCACTTGTTCCTTATCCATCTTCTCCCGGCCTGGCAAGTTGACTCCCTGAGCGACAGCTGGCTCTGTCCTGCTCCCCAGGGTAACCTCAGCATCCAGAACAGTGCCCGTCACCCCTTGGCAGTCAACATCTGCGGAATGAATAAATAATTCCATCCAAAGACTTCACTCTCCAAGTGAGCTAGGCACGAATTCCAAACTGAAGCCAAGGCTCTACTATATCAGTCTTCGCCTCTGAGAGACATGGAGAGGGAG